GGTATAGGGTTTCCTGCCTAGGCAGGGGCTTGGACTAGAAGACCTCCAAGGTCCCTTCCAACTCTGCTATTGTATTGTATTGTATTCTATTGTATTCTATTGTATTCTATTGTATTCTCTTCTCCCTTACCAGAGGGAGCCCCCATGTGGAGTACTATGAAGCTGTTACCATGGCAACTCCATTGTACAGTAGAAGCCATTTTAAGGCACAGCAGGCTATATTTTAACAAAGCACACACCCATGAGGGGTGTTAGGGATGGCTTTCCAGAGAGTAAGTTATCTATGTATCAAGTTTGGTTGTAATTGCTCGAGGCATTCCAGAGTTATGCTGGAACACACACATAAACACACACATAGACACTGCCATGAGTCTTTTGGAAGTACATTGACATAAAGTTAGTAAGTAAATACATTAATCCATCAGTCCTGGACATGATTTATTAATCTTAAATATATACACAGTCTGCCTGACATGGCCTCAAACCATCTTTAACTGCATGTTTAACTCATTAGAGTTCATGACCTGTGTTCCCTGACCTCTGCCAGTTTTAATTCTGTTTTGTTTGGATTCATTGTATCACTGCACAAAAGAGTTGATTGCTATATTTAGTAAACAAATTTATACAGCCACCCACTCAGTTTTGTATCACTCACTTTCAATTGGACTGAGCCAAACTGAGTCAGCTTCAAAACTCAGAAATGGGTTTCCAAACCAAATATTATCATGTAATTATTATTATCATTGCTGCTGATCACTACTCTAGTGACATAAAATTGTTGATGCTGCTAGGAAAACTATCAATTCTAGGTACTGTACATGGATATTAATCTCACCTGAACCATATAAAATAATCATTCAGTATATGGATCTTTTGCAGGTGATTAATTTTCTTTTGCAACATAAAGCAAACACTTTCAGCATGCATACTAAGTCAGCTAAATCAAGATGTTTACCTTTTCTTTTGCAAGAAGCTTTTACTTGTTATAATTACTGGTCCTTAGGCTGGTTACAAAATCCACTAATTAATCCCTTGACAGGAAAAAATAAGTCCCAAGCACAGTTTGGTTCTACCTATACTGCAGCTCATTAGGCCAGTATCAGGGGTGGGTTTCAACCGGTTCGCGGCGGTCCCTGCAAACCGGTTGGTCGGCGAACCCGGAAGTAAGTAACTTCCGGGAATGGCGAAGGGCCCAGCCGCCCGCCCGCACTCCTTACCTGGTTTTGACGAGTTCTGTGCTTCCACGCATGCGCAGGACGCATACAGTGCCTGCGCAATC